AACATGGTTTGTAGATGCACCGGTTCGTATGTGTGAATCCATGGTGAGTGAAAGTGCTAAAGGGGACAAGATAGACCTAAAATCACTGGTTCGTATCCCAATAAAAGATGTATTTTCTGATATAGGTTAAATCAAATTTGAAGCTGTTTGAAAATGGGGTAATCCTATTCTTAGCATAGATGGATTTAATTTGCAAAATATAGATGGTCGCAAGTTTGGTTATAGGAGGAAGGCTGAGGTAGTCGTAAAAAAGGTCTTTCTTTAATTTTTCCTCTAGATTTTGGGAGTACGTTTGCTTTGGATCCTAATACTTTCTAGGAGTCTTTTAGCCTTGTCAGAGATTTATATGCCCGTAGAAAATATAGATAACTTCTTGTACTTTTTATTTTTATTTTATATAATATTGGCTTGAGATGAGTTTAAATGGAGTCATCGTCTCAAAGAGGATTCATATAGTCAACACCAACTTACTTGGGAGTAAGGTGCAGTTGTTGTTGTTGTTTGTATCATATTCCTTAATTGAGAAAATGGTCATATTTACCATGGATGCTATAGAATAGGTGATCTTCGAATTGGTTTCACCTCTTCAGTTTACATTCCTCTAGTTGGTCCTAAAGCAAAACCAGTTCTCAACTATATTTCACCTCCTGATGATATATTTTGCATGTCATGTCTGTAAAATTAAGACAAGTCTGTATCTCCTAACTTATTCATTGATTATTTGATTTGTAGGTCCCACTTGGTTTTTTTTTTGTTCTTAATTAAGAATGGAAGATGCTAAAGAGAGGAAGGAAAGTGCTCCTCCAGAATCATCTCATGAACCGAAGGTCTCCTCTCCGAACGAGGATCAATCACTTAATGCAGCTCAAACAAGTCAACATACAAGTGAAAAAGAAAACTCTAAAATTCAGGAAGCAGCCGTGGATGCTTCAGAGCATTTAAAAGAGGCCTCTCGCAGCTTATTACTGCAAGAAAGTCAGACCTCTCCAGAAGGAAATTTAATGTCGGACACCCCCATTAAATCTGATGGAGTGAGTAACACTTCAGAAACAGGAACTCCTCAAATGGCTTCTGGTACACCTACGGTTGAGCCGGAAGCCTCACCTCAATTAATACAGGATCTGAAAGCAGACCCTTCTGCAAATAGAAATACAACAGCTCTCGGAGAATCCAATGTGTCATCCACATTGGATGCAAAACCAAGTGAAATGTTGGAGCCAGCATTGGGCATGGGTGCTAGTGGTAAGGTTCATAACCAACCAAATGATTCATCTGATGGACCAACAGCTGAGCAAGATTCTTCATCAATATTAGCCGTGAATTCAGAGACATCTCCCCTAAAAGAGGAAAACAAAAAGGAATCTTCTGAACGTATTCAATCTAATAATTCAGAAATAGAAAAGGGATCTTCTGAACATGTACAATCTCCTCATTCAGAAGCAGGACCAAATAATGCTTCACCGCGTCATCAACCAGATAATTCTCCTAGCAGTACCCACATTAATGAGGACGAGTCTTCTCTTTTATCAACTCAAGTGAGGACACCTGAAAATAACAATCACATACTGTCACCAGATAATATTGGTCGCCCGTTAGCTAAGGCTTCCACTTTCACAGCGAGGACCTCAGTACCCATTGCTAGTCCTAAGCATCCTGAAAAATCTGACATAAACAAAGGCCACATCGACACAGCAGCACCAATTGAATCTGTTAAGCAGGCAGTTTCCAAGTTTGGAGGGATCGTCGACTGGAAGGCTCATCGTGTACAGACTGTGGAGGTAGATATATACTGTTTGATTTTTTATTTTTTCTGATAGCCACTTTCCTGTCAGAGATTTCATAACCACTTTATAATTCTAATCACTTCGTATTTGCATCTGCAAAGAACACTACTATCTTTCCCCCTGGCTAAATCTCCCATTAATCTCACAATTTGATGTTTTTATCCCCTGACTATTAAAATTCTTTCCCCCCTGGCTAATGCAGAGACGGCAACTTGTTGAACAAGAACTAGCAAAAGTACAAGAGGAGATCCCATTTTATAAAAAACAGTCTCAGGCTGCTGAAGATGCAAAAGTGCTAGTTTTAAAGGAACTAGATAGCACTAAGAGACTTATAGAAGAATTGAAGCTGAACCTGGAGAGAGCACAAAAAGAAGAGCAACAAGCAAAACAGGATTCAGAACTTGCCAAGCTTCGGGTAGAGGAGATGGAGCAGGGGATCGGTAATGAGGTTAGTATTGCAGCCAAAGCACAGCTTGAAGTTGCTAGGGCTAGGCATGCAGCTGCAGTTTCTGAGCTAAAGACTGTAAATTCTGAGTTAGAAGATCTTCGAAAAGACTACGCTTTATTAGTGTCTGAGAAAGATGGTGCGGTGAAAAGAGCAGAGGAAGCAGTCTCTGCTTCGAAAGAAGTTGACAAGACATTGGAGAATTTAACTATTGAGCTCATCACTGCAAAGGAATCTTTAGAGGCTGCACATGCTGCACATCTAGAAGCTGAGGAACACAGAATTGGAGTGGCTGCGGCAAGCGAGCAAGATGCTCTAATCTGGGAGAAAGAACTGAAGCAGGCTGAAGAGGAGCTTGACAAGCTAAACCAGCAAATTCTGTCTGCAAACGATCTGCGAGGAAAACTAGATACTGCTTCAGCTTTGCTACAGGATCTCAAAGCTGAGTTAGCTGCTTATATGGAATCAAAGTCGAAGCAGGAGACGGATGAAGAAGGAAACCCGAACGGCAGTGATTTGTCGGTGCCAGAGAAAAGAACTCATGTGGAGATACAAGCAGCAGTGGCCACAGCTAAAAGGGAACTAGAAGAAGTGAAACTCAACATCGAGAAAGCTACGACTGAAGTAAATTTCTTGAAGGTGGCAGCAACTTCATTGAAGGCAGAATTGGAAAAGGAAAAATCAGAACTAGCCGTGATCCGACAGAGAGAAGGAATAGCATCTGTTGCCGTTGCATCTCTTGAAGCTGAGTTGAGCAGGACAAAGTCAGAGATTGCTCTTACACAGATGAAGGAAAAAGAAGCAAGAGAGAAGATGGTAGAGCTTCCCAAGCAACTTCAAGAGGCAGCCCAAGAAGCTGATCATGCAAAATCACTTGCTCAAATGGCACGTGAAGATCTGAATAAGGCAAAGAAAGAAGCTGAGCAGGCAAAGGCTGGAGCAAGTACCATAGAAAGTAGATTACTTGCAGTAAAGAAGGAGATAGAGGCTGCGAAAGCTGGAGAGAAGTTGGCACTAGCAGCTATCACTGCTCTGGAGGAGAGTGAATCAGCTCAAAGAAGTAGAACCAATGATGAGGAGCCAGCTGGAGTAACTCTTTCTGTGGAGGAGTATTTTGAGCTCAGCAAGCAGGCGCATGAGGCGGAGGCGCAAGCTAACATGAAGGTGACTGCTGCTATTAGCCAAATAGATGTAGCCAAGGAGTCGGAGCTGAGAAGTCTAAACAGGCTGGAGGAGGTTAATCACGAGATAACTGAAAGAAAGGAAGCTCTAGAAGTTGCATTGCAGAAGGCCGAGAAAGCCAAGGAAGGGAAGTTGGCTGTAGAGCAAGAGCTAAGGAAATGGAGAGCAGATCATGAGCAAAGACGGAAAGCTGGTGAATCCATTCCACCTACAACAGGGAGCCCAAGAATGAGCGTTGAGGAGAGTAAAGAATCAAAAACCTCTGAAAGTGCACCAGAGGCTGCTGCTTCTCATAACAGCACAAGTCCGAAAGCCCAAGCGCTAGCAAGCAGCACCGAAGCTGATTCATCTCCAGATGTGAAGATTCCAAGGAAAAAGAAGAGGTCCTTCTTCCCAAGGATCTTCATGTTTCTAGGCAGAAGGAAAGCACAGGCCAATAAGTCTGCCTGATGCTTTCTGCATTTACTATATCTTGTCATTTTTAACAATTATTTCTCCAATTTTTTTGGCTGTTTGTGTCAGTTGATAAAGCGGAAGGGTAATCTTTCACGATATGTACATACTGAGTATTCTTTTATATGTACAATATTAAATTAATTCTCATTCACTCGATTGATAGCATTTTATAGGAGAATAAGCTTGTTATTGGTTTGGCTGTAACATCAACTAGGTGATTCTGTAATTAAATAGTGTAGTCCATCAAATATCCAAGAAGCTGGCAGGATTTGATAAGTTAAGCTCATTTGTGGGCTTCTATTTCTTATTTGACTGGTTTGTACAGAATAATGAAAGATTGAGTGAGTAATTTGCATCATTTGAAAGGCATTAAATTCCGAGGGTCTATCGGAAACAGCCTCTCTATCTCTATGAGGTAGGGGTAAGATCTGCGAACACACTGCCCTCCCCAGACCCCATTTATGGGATCAAACTGGGTTTGTTGTTGTTGTTGAAAGCCATTAAACTGCATACCATCATCAGAAGTTTTTTACTTTACAATCAGCCTATCATTGCCTGCTTGCATCCATTTCCTCTACTTTATGCCATCTAGTCTTAATTGCGTTAAATTTTCTTTAACGTCCTAAGAGGTTATGAGAATGAATCAGTACTTTGAAACTTAATGAAAAAAGAGGACCAGCTGATTAAACCGTTTTTAATCTCTGAAAAAATTGCCCCAAATGAAAGTCATGTTGGCCTTCGCAAAGCTTGAATCTATTGCTTCTGCATAGCTTTAACGAATGTCCTCTTTTATCAGGCCGATATCAGTGCTTTATACAGCCAGAGGAACAATTTGGAAGCTACTTTCCACTACAATGTCCGTGTCTTATCCTATCATCTTCTCACAACAAACCCAACTGGGGGGCACTGGTCATGAGGCAAAAGCAAATGATCATAATTCAAATGATACACAGAAGTTGGCTACTTAGCATTACAAATAAGATAGAAGGGGCTCAGTCTCTCTTCTCAGCCACAGGTTCTTTGCAGTCAAATTGTAACAAAGTCCGGGAAAGTGCATAAGGAATACCTCACAAAGTAATCATATAGCATCAACAATACTAAAATAGCCTAATAGTTTCATATCTGAAGGGATGTGTCCAAAGAAAACAGCAATAATGCAAATCACCGGAAATCATTAAGAGGGATCCGCTCCTTTCAGTTATTACAACAATACACTGGGGATACCTAGAAATTGGAAGACAGCTTTTGCAGGTCTTCAAATTAAAGTAATACATTGTACTTGACGTCAGTTTTTAAATGGCTTGCAGATATGCAATTAGTGCGAGGGACACTAATTCTGGTCCAGATATACCTAATAAGTTGCACATATGAACAAATTGACTCTGTTCAAATTTGTAATCTCCTGCTAGAGATGCTGAATGAGCTAACTTTCAGGGGTGTTGCTACCACCAAGGGTGCTTCAGGAGAGTCCGTTACAGCAAATTTGTCATGCATGAATCGACTTTCTACGATAGAGTCATCTCTTAAAACTATCTTGTAACAATAGCAGCTCTTCAACCCCACCTGATTCTGGTAACACCCATGAGAACTATCCTTCACCTGTTGAAAATTCCATATCACACTGAACTTCCCAACAGTTGCAACAAGGTGGCGCTCCTGCTTCCCATTCTCAGTGACCTAAAATATTTCACATTAAGAAGATGAGTATCGGAGGACTACAGAATTAACTAGACAATCCCCAATTTATATGAACAAATGCTAGCAGGATTTACTTGAAAAGGGATAATAGGGTAAGACAAAAAAAGCAATATATACAAACTGGCAAATTCTTCATCCCACAACGCATATAAGACTCCAGATGAAAAGACAACTGGTCCCATACATATACTGAAGGAGCTCCAGCAACAGAGCAGTAGACACCACATGCACTTACAGCATTGTAATGAGATCCCTCCATGACCACAAACTTTCAATGATAAAAATACTCTGTTTTAATTTTGGTTTTCTTGTTTCAGCAAGCATGTGAGTTGTTTCTATCCCGATTCAGAAGATACACATGGTTATAGTTTCCAATACATAAACAAGAGCTATGAGTCGATTGAGTGGTTGACATGCATGAGAAGAAGGGGCTAAGTAGAATCGAGGATGAGGCAAACCAAGTCAACTAATATCTTCAGCATAAGATACTGAATATTACTAGTTCATAATTTCCTAGGCTGATTAGCTTTTGATTCACTCCAGTGGCATGAACTTTGCAAATCTTAACATGGTCATACCCTTTTGGCGTAATCTGACTAACCATCAATCTCAGGAAAAAAAAAAAAGAAAACCAAAAAGAAGGTCCAGGAGTAGAAAACTGGTGAACTTTATAGTTAACACTCCCACTCACTTTATGTGCCATAGTTTGACAGTTTAAGCATTAAGATTCAGAAATTATCCACGAATATCCTATTATTATGGTAGTGATAAAGTAAGTAAATAAATTGATTTCTGAAATTTGTATTAAGTTGTGTAATATATAAAACAGTAAATGTCCGCATAAGTTGATTTTTTTTAAAATGGAGAAGAGATTACATTGCATAAGTTGAATTGTACAATGAATTCTAATTTTTTTATCCTTTTGCAAACATTAACACTTATAGGAGTTCAACAACCATTTCAAATGGTAAAATGGTATGCATTCTGCATAAAATCGGCTCAAGGGAGTATGTCCTAATGGGAGGGGTGCATATTTTATGTTTTTGGATATAGCTTTCCAGGAAAATGTGGAATTGTCCTGTAAACTATGAGGAATGTCAATTTCATGAGATATTTATATTCCCTACATAACTTATTGTCTCTAAGCTGCAGTTTAGGCTTCCTCATTTTTTTGAACTTGGATCTAAGATGCTAAATCAAGTATGCTACCTCTCCCCAACCAAGTGACATCAGTCTGAGATTTAAGAGCATAACTCCTCGTATGATGAGGTAGTTTTGTTTCATCCTTTTCCTCTCCCTATTTTGAGTTTTTAACATCAACATATGAAGTTGATAGAGCAAAAGAACTTCATAGTCTAAAATCTAAATTATTTATATCCAGTCCAACATAATGTATGAACCATCTAAAGCAGACTCTAGTTGAACAAAACTTATCAGCTAAAGATCATCAAGAACAATTGGTCTAGCACCCAAGGGTGTGGCCTAGTGGCCAATGAAGTGGATGAGAACCATAAGGTCTCGGGTTCAAATCCCAACGGAGGCAAAAAAACACTAGGAAATTTCTTCCCATCTATCCCAACCTTGGTGGATAGAATTACCTGGTACCTGTTGCTGGTGGGCGATGGCAAGTATCACGTGGAATTAGTCGAGGTACGCCTAAGCTGGCCCGAACACCACGGTTATCCAAAAAAAAAAAAGACAAATAGCCTAGAAAAAGAATGATCGGTGCAAAATCTCGTCAAAACCAAACTCTCAATTATTTGATAGGAATTCTAAAAGCATGTCCAAATCAAATGTGGTGGATCTCAAATTGCAATTTATATTAGTGCAGAAGATAAAATACATCACACATGATCCTGGAGTTGTATTACTATAAGACAGAAAAGGAAAACTTGGACACTTTGGTGGCAGAGCACAACAGAGGGGTCTATCAGGTGAAGGCAGCATATAAGATTTTGAATCAAAGTGATCTATAGATAAATGATTGGCCATGGAAGCATATATGGAGAACCAAGATTCCCTATAAGGTAGCTTATTTCACTTGGCTAGTAGCAAAGGAGGCTGTCTTAACCCAGGATAATCTCATAAAGAGAGGAATCTTTTTGTGTTCAAGATGCTTTCTATGTGGGGAAAATGCTGAGACAGTTAGCCATCTATTTCTACACTGCAAGATAACAGGCCAACTATGGAATATTTTTATTAGTCTAAGGGGTATTTCATGGACAATGCCCTGCAGGATCACTGAAGTTCTTTTTAGTTGGGAAGAAGCTGGAGCTGAAGCAACTAACAGAGATAGATGGAGGACTGTCCCAGCATGCATCTGGTGGACAGTTTGGAAAGAAAGGAATGCTAGATGTTTTGAATACATAAGCAACTCAGTGCAGAAGATCAAACTCAATTGTATTCTTCTTTTTTGTTTTTGGTGTAAACAGATTTACACAGAAGATACACTGTCAATCTTAGACATACTAGGATCTTGCTAGGATTGCACACTAGCACATCCAGCTAGCATTTACCTGTAAATATGGTTTCCAGTGCAACCTATGTACTGACTTTATTAACATATACAAACATTATCAATTCAAAAAAAACTTGGACACTTAATATGGATATCAAAAACACGTTAAAGCACGTCACAAGGAAATAACTATGCAAAATTTTTAATGTACGAACTATGAAGGAAGAGAAATAAGCTTGACAGTCAAAATATAAGTTGCATATATAGCTACAAATAAACGCAAAAAGGGGTAGAAGAAGAGAGAACTCATACCCATGAAAATTGAGCATTGCGAAACTTGTTCGCTCCAGCCATATGTGAATCGAGAGGGTTTAGCTTCAACAATCTGGGAGCCGAAATCTTGTTCCCCATGCGACCGGCAAAACCTGTCTTAGTACTTCCGTTCTTGTCAACAAACAAGGTGCATATCAATACCAAGTAAGTATCAGTTGTCCCCAGTATCCACTTCCCATCATAGGTAACATCCACATGAGTGATAGGAGAACCAAGCCCCGGAAAAGCTGTCTTAGCCATTCTCATTGAACTGCTCGAGTATAATCTAATCTTTCCATCAAGTGAACCAACAACGATTGATCCATCACCAGTAGTAGCAAAGCACTGAAAGTTAGTTCCCCTAGAAAACTGATGCCCTTGAGTCCAATTCAACACAGGAGTACTTTCATTGACAAGATTCTGAACCATCCCATGTCGATCACGCATATCCCACCTACACAACCTGTTATCATCTAAACCTAAGAAAGTCGACCCCGAGGGATCCATCTGAGCTCCTTTGCTATCATTAGTAATATCCCTCATTGAGATATCAGTTCCATCTTTCTCAAACTTCCACTCGCTAACAACCTTCCCTGTCTCGATATCAAACTGATGTAATCCCTTAGAGTGAGGCTTCTTATCGGTCACGGGACTCATGAGAAGCATATTAGTCTCAGCTCTTAACAGTAAAGCTTTCCTAGGAGTCGAATGAGCTACAGTACTAGACCTTTCCTTATCGAAATTCACATAAACGCCTTTTCCACTTATCCCATGATTGTAATTCCTCACAACCTGAATACCCGAATCGCTAATAAGAAAACTATTATCCAATGCACCTAATGCTAAGCTCTGAATAGCTCCTCCATTAACCGACGCCTCCTCAAACTCCTCCCGTAAGTCATGGTTAACCCTCAAAGGCGTCTTCTCGGGGCTCTTAAAACTATCCCCTGCATCCTCCCACATCGAATCATCTGCAGCTTCGGGTTTCGCCCATCCGATAAAGTCCTTACCATAAACCTTAACTCTATTCTCATCATTTGCTTCATACCCATAAGTATTCTCAAACAAACAGCTCTGATACTTATCAACAAACGCATTGTACTCTTCTTCAGCAAAGAATTTCACAGCCCAAACGCCATTTGCAACAAAATCCACTCTCTTTTGGTCCTTAAAAGCCTTTAATTGCAAATTCTCATCAACCTTAACCTTAATTTTGGACCCAATTTGCAAAGCCCAAAAACTATTCTCCTCATTTTCATCATCAGACTCATCACCGCTACCCAATTTGACGAACAAATAAGTCGTGACCTTATCAGAAACGACCCATTTAGAATTGGTGGTGTTGAATCCGACGTGTTGGTAAAGTTTAACGGCATTTTTATCGGTAGGGTTGTTGGCCTTAGCATGAGGAGTATTGTATTTGAGCTTTAGGGCTTTGAGCTTAGCTTCAACGTCGTCTAAAGAGGATGGGGTTTGAGGATTCTGTTTGCTGTCAATAGAAGACGGCGTCGTTTTGGCGTCAGAGTAGTAGTTATCTTCTTCGTCGTCTTCTCTTTGCCGAGACTCAGAACAGTATTCGGATTCCGATTCAGAGTCGGAAAGCTCCAGATCTTCACGGCTGTGATTAGCACCCATTTTTCTGAATAAACGAAATTTGGGGAGCGTTTGATGGGGTTGATTCAGAGTTAAATGGGAAAGCGAAAATGAAAGGTGGAAGGAGTAACGGAGATTGTGATTTGTGAAAAGTGTGAGGAGCGCGAGTTTGAAATTTTGAATTTTGACGGTTGGATTGGCTTTTTCGGATTAGGGTTTCAACTGGTACAGTTTTATTTTATTTTATAGTATTGTTTTTGAAGCAATTCTTTTTTTGTTTTTGTCATCTTTTTGAAGCAACTTGTGCAGTTGGATTTTGGAATATACCACCTCAAAGTAGAGGAAAAAAAATTACACCTAGAAAACTATCAAAAGACAAAAAATAAACAAATGAAAGAGAGAATAATTACATGTTATCTTAGTTTTATTTTAATGATATTCTTTGAATATGTACGGAGTTTAAAAAAAATTTAAAATGTATGATCTTAAATATTCCATAATATTTATATCAAAATCGTTTGCTTTTGTCGTCAATTTTGAGCAAATTGTTGAAAATTGAAGCTGGAAGTGACGTGAAGGCGAAGGAGGAGGTGGTGGTGGCGCGTAGAAGGATTGGAATGTACACATTTACTTATTATTCTTCTTAAAGGTAAAACGACACGAAAGTATAAAATTAATTATTTTCAAATATAGAAGCATCAATCTTTCTAGAATTAAATTAAAAGAAGTAAGCCTTCAAATATTTTTTAAACAAAAAATTGAACATGTGGTAGCTCTACTTTTATGATAAGAGGGTCCTTTGGTTACAAAAAGAAAGTTAAACCGGCATGATGCTATAATTAATTAATTAATACTCCCTCCCACGATTTAGTTTGTTGCATAAAACTCAATTAATGTAATATGAGTATAACTACGCATAAATTTTGAGTTTCAATATAAAATGCTGTAAAATTAAAATTATTACTGTGTTTGACAGTTTGAGTTGTGGTATTAAAATTATGGGGTATGGAGCGCCACTCGGCATAAGTACAGATCAAAAATCATTCGCGTGATTGAATTCAATGTCCATTAATTATTGTATATAATTTGTTATTAGTTAAAATATAATTTCATTCCATTATATCCTTCAAGTTGCACTTGCGTTTAGCGGTGGAATCATTATTTTACTTTGAAGCAAAATAACCGAGAAAAAGCAAAATATATAGCTCTGTTTACCCGAAAAATGTATAGGAGTTGAATTTGTACGTAGATCTAAGGATATGTAGTATAACTTGATACAAATCGTAAGGATAAATAGAAATATCAAATATGGGTTGGAAAGAATACAAAATAAACAAGGTTGGAAAGAAGATGATTTTTAGGACCAAGCACAATGAATCAATTAATGAAGCTTACAAGGATAATCTTTGAATATAGGAGAATATGGTGCTTGAATTACAATGTAAGCAAAAAACTGTCTTCTACAGAAATATAGCCATCCTCTTTATAGTGAAAGATCCCATTTTAGATATAATTAAAAATACATAGTGGAGGACCCATGATAAATCAGTTTTTTCCTAATTTCCGCCGAGATTCTCTCCCTTAGTGTGTTTGCAATGGCTCTTGTCTGTGAGCTCGAGCTCGATCGACCTCGGTGCTGGTCGGTATTGCTTCTAGAACTCGATATGGACTCGGAATCAGGTGATGATTCGGACTCGGTCCCGGTTGGCCTTTGCCCCTTAAGCTCGATATCATCTCATCATAGTTCGATTCGAACCCGAGCTCGATAATGACTTCGAACTCGGTATTTGACCTATACACGAAATCTGAAGCTTGTTTGTACCATCTTCGGAAGCCATCTCGATATTACGAAGTCTTTCTTCGATCCATTATGTTTCGACCTCGATCAATCGTACGAAAGCCTAAATCTATTTCGACCGTATACAGATAGTCCCCTCGTTTCTCGGGAAGGATATGGTGAGAAACGATATGATTTCTCAATGGCTCGATTGGACTATAAGGTGACGTTCACATTGGGCTTGATCATGACGCATGTGATAGTTGTCCTGTCGATTTAGTTTTTCAAGGCATTTAATGCATGTCAGACGGTAGTCGGCCACCGTTGATACTGAACCGGCATTGCTTTAATCTATAAATAGCCCTTCCTTTTACCATTTACCACTTTTACATCTTCAATCTTCCAAATTTCCAAAAGTTCTTTTTCGTATCCTCTGAGTTTATTTGCAAACCTGTGATTCTTCTTTGCAAAATTCCTCTTCTAAACCACCAAATCTTTGTCACCTTCTTTAAATTCAAAATTGGTGAAGACATCAAAAACTGTCCCCCAAAAAGAAAAAGCTTCTTCTTCTCAATCTGCTGCCGACAAAATACCGGTGGATCCACGGCCTGAGGAGTGCGTTCCAGCGGCGTGTGTTCTAACCTCCGATTTCAAACTCGATAAAGGTTCGCTGGTTCCTGGCCGATATGAGCCCGTATCGAGATATATTTGTTCGATAACCCGAGGGTACATCGAGCAGATAAAAAAAGATTGTAACTGAGGGAACAAAGAAGTGGTAGTGTCGTCTCCCGAATAGGATATTACTACTCACGTGAAAGGATTTTTAAGTGTGTATATTTACCCTTTCACGTTAGGTCCCCTCGACCCTCTTATCATAGATTTTTGTCGTAAATATCTAATAACCCTAGGCCAGATCCATATTTCGTTTTGGCGGATCGTTATTTTGATCTGATACTTTGTGAACAAAATCGAGGGGATGCCTTTCACCCTCGATCATCTCATTTGATTGTACCGTCATCGCCTTTTTCGAGGAGGATTAATAAAACTTCAAAGTCGAGCTACCAAGGCTCTGTTCTCGAGCATAGACGAGGAAAGGAATCGAGGCTAGATGAGGAGGTTCGTTTGAGTAAGGACTTTGGACCTGATTCTGACTGAAAAGATGCCTTTTTTCCGAGGAGTGGAACATGAAGCGTAAGTGTAATTCTTGCTGTTATATCCTACTATTTTGTCCTTTCATTTCTTTTCTCACCGATATCCCCCTTTTGTGATGCAGCGGTTCCCTGGATGCCCGACGCAGATCCCGATCTCAAGAACTGAGTACGGGATCTGGTTTCGACCTCCGCATACGCCGAGCGCTCATGGCATGACTTGTCAAAGGGTCGATAGGAGGCCAAAAATCATGGTGAGCCCCCTTTCTCGTATTTTTTTGGTAGTTCGAACACAATGCTTTCCATACACTTTAATAAAATTTCCCATATGTAGGTGTGGACAAAGATGCAGTTTTGAGGCCCTCGTTAGAGGCTTTAGCCTCTGTCCCAAAGCCGGTGAAAGATAATAAGAGGAAAAGAGCCTCCGTTCCCGAAGATCCAAAACCGAAGAAGAGGACGGCTCGTAAGTCGAACAAGAACACCATTCCTTTGACCGTAGAATCAGTTCTGAGTCTAAGGGATGAAGACGAAGAAGAAGAAGAAAAAGATGGGTCCGCGCTGGCGGCCCGAATGAAGAAGACCACCGACATTCCCCAGGCAGCTAGGTCGATGGTGATTCATAAGGCTCCGTCTCGAACTGAGGATATATCAGAGAAAGATTCGGGCAGAGTCCCCAAGTTATTGGAGATCGAAGATGCTTCTCATCGAAGCCAACGGATGGGGATATGTTTGAAGGGGCTCTCCCCGAATCTCTTCGAACCGAAGAGAATGCTCCAAGTGATTCACTTGGGGCAGTAGCAATCGAAGACTCGCTCACCTTCCCTGCTTTTTCCGCAGGGACGATTCGGGAAGCACAAGCTTTGTGGGCCCTCGAACTAGACAGGCCTCATGATGGAGAGGATCCTTTTCGTGACCTGTTTACCAGTGTCGAGGACGCTATCGGTACAAGTGACGCATCAAATCTTTTTTACGGAGTGCATCAGGCTTTGAATCAGGTAAGCCTTAAATTATTTTGTTGGCCTTACCTTTATGTTTGCTTTTCTTTTCTAACTTCGTTTCTTCTTTCTTTGTAGACCGCAACAGTTCATCGAGAAGCATGTTCTCGGTTCCAAACCGAGCTGCATCTATATGAGGCCGATCTTCAACGGGTTACAGAGGAGAGGGACTCTCTTAAACTCCTCTTAG